AAACAAAAGAAATCCCACGCAGTATGGACAATCAAGTTAATTCAGGCAGAAAAATCCTAAATATGCCCTCAGGCGACTCCTTTTTTTTCTTTTTAAATTCATGTTGTGGTGCAAAAAATCACATAATCTATTTTCGTGACTCTGGCATATTGGAGGAAAAATAATACTCTTCTAAGTCCTAAATATAAGTGTTCATTAGTTAAATTATTTAAATCAATGTGTGTTGATTTTCTAAAATACTCTTTCATCTTTTGTATTAAAAAATTATCATTATTAAGAACTCTTTAGTACATGTAATATACATTATATAGTGTCAAATTGTTTGAAAAATTATAAATTGGTGAGATAGAATGAATTAAAGTCTTATAACTAAAGTAAATACTCCTCCGATCCTAAATATAAGAACCTTATATACACTATATAAGGATCTTACATCTAGTACTCAAGAAAGTATATTCTCTGGGATGAGAATCCTTAAGCTGCTCAGAAGTAACCTTTACAGAGTCACGATGAAAAATTAATTGTACAGTTGCCGAAAAATATATAAAATCGCAACACATAAAAGCAAGGAAAACATTGTTAAAGTGACAAATAAATTATAATCTTACTTTATATCAGGTAGCTTGGGTTCAGAAGGGTTATAATTGAGTTGATTTGTTCATTGTTGTAAAGTAAGGATGAGCAAGAAAACTAAAGAGAACTCGTGCCTAATCTCTCCCTTTCAATTTTTTTGGCCAAAATTTTCCCTTTTAATTAATTAATTAATGCAAAAAAAATTTTATTTATAAGGAAAAATCTCTAGCATCGCATGGCCTGAGATCATCCAAGACGGGATTTCTAACAGTGCAGTAGTTCCTACTTGCGCAGGTTATTTTGGCAGTGTATTAAAGTCCAATGCTTTATAATGGTTTTTCACTAGTGGAAAGACTATGAACACTGAAATATTTTCGGTTAGTCTACTTTTATCATGCTATTATTAAAAAAAATTAAAATTGCTAAATTATGAAAGTTATAAAAGACAATAATAAATTAATAATATGTAAAGCTACAAAACATTAATTTCCGTCAAAATTCTGTAATCATGTATTCTACATTTTCTTATCTAAAAAAAAAAAAATCTCATTCATCTTTCATAATATTTGTCACCTTATAACTTTTCTTTGGCACAATATGTATTTTAAAAAAAAAAAAAACTGATCAGTAATTACATCCTTGCTGAATGCAGCTAAAATAGTGAATTTCCAATTTTTTTCCAATTTTTTAATCACCGATGAAAGAATGCACGCTTTACTGTAAAATATTAGTTTCTGCTTTTTCTTTCTTTCTATTTTTTTTTTTTTAGCTTCCAGGATATAACGCCTCAAATTACAAATTTGCTTGGCATAGAATTGTAGTCCTTTATAATTTTCCACCCAAGTTGAAGAAATTAAAGTTATGTGATAGAAGTTTCCATCACAAGGCAACAACATCAGAAATATATTCAAATAATAAGTGATAAATAAAGAACCATAAGGCAAATCAGCTAGGAGGAAACAAGCCTACATAAAATCACTTCGCTATATCATATTTACTATCAAAACACATTACTATAGGCACATCAAGCTTCTAAATTTAGTCTTAAGCACAAAACATCTGCAGAACAATTCGACGATTGTTTTTCTCAAAAAACTAAATCATAGATATACTTAAAAAAAGCTACATTCTAGTTATTCAGCAAAATAATACAAGCAGCACAATCTCCTAAAACACATATCTCGTACTTGATAACCTTTGTAGATTTTGAAGCTGAAAAGTCAAAGTTAAGAATATCGGATAGACTCGCGCAGGTTCAGTAATGGGATGTCATCATCCGGATCAGTTGCTAGGAGTTGACAGCATCATTTCATTGTCTCCACAATCCAGAAATATTATCCTACATTCTATACAAGAGCATGATTTAGTTAATAATTATGTCTTCATTTATTGCATTAAACAATCAGAAAAATTAATATAATTAAAGGAAAAAAGAACATGATCAAGAATTTTAGTATGAGATGATATAGGCTTGAGCAGATAAGGAAGTGATAACAGAAATATCAGGGACCTTCATGATGTTAGCAAACACTAGTGTGATCCACTTGATTTGAACCTTTTAAGTCGCCTTGGGTTAAATCAAAAATAAAACCAAATTATGCAGTAAAGCACAACTCGGGTCGAGTCTCTTGAGGAGCTTTTTATTAATTCCTTAATTAACTAAGTGACAAAGAATTGAAAGGAGGGGTTGAAAAAGGATTTTTCAATTAATAAAACTAATTAAGAGAGTAAGAAATAAATCTAAACTACTTTTTTTTGGTATTTTTAAGAAAGAATGAAAAATGCAAATTTGAATTGTAAGAAATCAATAACAAGAATGCTCTTGAGGAATGAATCAATGACTATCCTAGCTTGTTTAATGATATGAGAGTAACTTAAGTGGTTAAGATTGGTTTATATAAGTTATTCCTTTTAAATTAATACTCAACTAGAACATTAATTACTTGTTAAATTCACTTCAAGCATAATTTCTATACAACTTGCATAAAAATCACACTAACAATGAATTAACAAAGGCATAAACATAAATATATGTATAAACCAAGTACTCAAACTTATAAATACCAATCCAAATATCAGCAATTCCAATCCAAACCAAGAATTACAACTAGCAACTCTTAGCTTTAAACCAAATATAACAAACTTCAAACCAGAAATCATCAACAAAATAGTCTAAACTAAGGACTAAAATTAAACTCCCCTTTGTAGCTCCCAAACTCAAGCCATTGAATTCAATCCCGAAGAGCACAGTGAATTTAGCCTCTCATAGCTCTGAACCAAGCTACAACTCGTGCCAAAGATAAAGTAGCCATGGAGGATAGATGGAGGGGAAGAAAGATGAATTTGGAAGATTGAAATTGAAGTGTTGCGGCAGTGGAGTATGCGTGTGATGCGAATATGGCTCTGTGGTCTTGCGTGCGGCTGTGAAGGACGTGAAGGGGTGCGCGGTGGCGTGAGGCGTGGTTGCGTGTATGGCCTGCTCTTGCAATGGATTTAATATATAACCTAATATCTTTCCAAAATCCATGCCTTCCCTCTCTTCCGTCCTTTTCTTTCTTTTTTTTTTTAATTCTTTTTCTTTTGTTTCAACTTTCCTTCTATGTTTATTTTCTTTTCTGAGACCTGCAAAAGATAAATTGAAATACTATCATAAAGCCCAAAATCAATTATTTAAAAAGAGATAAAATATGATAAGATTTTCTTTTAAATTTCTAATTTTGTGCAATCAGTATTTGATTCAAAATACCCACAATTAATGCAATTTATCCCACTTTAATTGATAAATATCTCCAAAAAGATATCAAATAAGATATTAAAATCAAGATTTATCAGTGATGCATGAGAAATAGTCTAAAATCTGAATGACCAAAAACAAACGTAAAAGTTCTGGTGGAAAAAAAAAAAAAAACAAACAAACGTAAAAGTTACAAAGTATAATTTAATGACATCAATTTACTACCTGGGGATCAGAAAGAGTGAAGTCTCCAATGACGTCTGCATCATCAGATAGATACTGAACACTAATGCTTGATGATCTGTACTTGGAATTGTATTCACTCAATCTCAATTTCATGACAAATGTCCGACCAACCAAATCCTCAAATTCATCAGGAAAAGAATCCGGCCGTCCTTCCTTTTTTTTTTTCGTTTTGGGAAATTATTAGTTAAAGGCAAATAATAACTGGATTAAATTGTACTGAATCAATCAGAGTATATTTTGAATAAAAATGTTACCGCAATCAATTCATCCTTTAAGAGCTTAGCACTTTTATTCAATAGCCTTGAGGCAACACCATCAAAAAGGACAACCGATGTAGTTCCAGTATCATCAGCCACCATAAAGTGTATTTTATATCTAGCATCAATAACATAAATGGATAAATATTATCAGCAACAGTTTTGAATGGTCTATGTTTTCTTTACGCAGATTTGAGATACAGTACTAATTCCTGCCAATGAACAACAAATGAAACAGTCCCAATGAGTGTGCTAAACAGAGAACCAGAAACGTAGATAGATCCAACATCTAGTCAGAAAAGCAGAAGTGAACAAAATTAGATTAAAAAAGGATTGCTAAGTTCTCTTTCTTTGTTTTCTCCCCCTTTGTTTTGTTTCGTAAAAGCAAAGTAATTTAACTTGTCTGACTGTCATCAAAAAAAGAAAAACAGAACCATTTAATCGAACCAAATTTTAAAAAAAAAAAAAATCTATAAAAATGTGTTGATAAAAAAACATAACTTACTTAACCACAATCCCTGACGCTGGTCTTTGACACCCATGACAGCTGACTCTTAGAACCTTGCTCTTCAATTTTGCACCACAGCTGTAGTTGTTGCATCCCTCATAATACCATCCAAAGTTTTTCTCAACTTTCTTTATCTCAGCCCGTATCACAAAGGAGGAAAGCTACAAAATCATCAGAAGTTATTAATATTAATTATTTTATTTGATATACAGAATCTGTCAGTACATGATATTGTTAAAAAACACACCTCCTTCATGTTGGCAATATTAGAAATGGAGATACGTGGTTCATGGGTCAATAAATCATTCCCTTCCGAAACACTTGTTGGCGATGTTGGCAGGCTGAGAGTAAACAAACATTGGGTCAAAAAAGTAACTTTGATAAAAATAATAGACTTTGGGATACAAAAGAAACAACCTAGCTACAAAATTACGATCATTGCTTAGGCCAGCAAAAGTTGAAACCTTTTCAACAATGACATTACTATTGTCATCAATTCTATAGGAGACATCCAGCCCCTCCAAAATAAGGTGATAAATTACTTCGTTGGAATATAGAGAATTGTGCTCTTTTTCAAGCATACAAGCTGCTTCATCTAGGCTCCCATCTATATCAGAAGGGTCATCCATCAATGCATCATTGTCATTGTCTTTCTTTGAAATCGCATCATGAGGCCTCTTCCGCTGACTAACCGACCGAATATCCCATGAAAGAACCTGCTTTATCAGGCTTTGGAATTCGCCTGCTGATGCATAAAGTGATTTCTTTTCCTAAAGCATCAAGATGGTCAACAGATATCATCCAAATGAGTGGCAATAAAAGGGTGTGCGCGTGTGTGCGTGTTACACAACAACCCAGAGCTTAGAAGGTACCATGCCATTTTTAGTATCTCACAGTGAATTGAGAGGTCTCATTAGCTACAAGGGATCTTAAATCAGGCAGAAAATGCAAGCAGGTTTTATGCAAGTTATTAAGAAGGGAAAAAGAGTCTTCACATCATTAACAGCATTAACAGAAATTGATAAAAACTAAGCGTGCTAGTGCAAGGTAGAGTATTTTAAGGATTGAAAAACATTATGGTTTTTGGGGATACGCGTTCTTCAATAGGATATTTATCTTTGCAAGTCAATAAATTGTACATCAAAAGTCATCATGATTCCGTACTTATCAACAGTAGTATTGAATTAACTAACAAAAGTGAAGATTTTCTGGTGATTCCTATGAGATTCTCCAACCAAGACATAGCATGAAAAGAAACTTTTAAAATAGTCAATTAACTGTTGCTGAGCTGCAAATGTGTCATGTTTTTATTGGGATCATGGTAACTAACATCTTAAAAACTCTGCTTAAATTTTGTCCTAAATCATATAGGTACACCTCAAGCTAGCCAATGCAGAGGCAGGTATTGAATTCAACATTTCAAGCAAGTCATTAACAACTCACTGCCATTCTCCAGCAATTTTCTAGGGTTGAAGTAAAGTCCTCTGAGAAGCTTATAGAAGCTACAGCAAGTAAGTTATCCTCCTGGAAAAAAAAATGAAATTAATCAGGAAAAAAAGAAGAAGAAGAAAATCGCTTTATAGACTCAAGATGAAAGAAAAAATAAACTATTACTCAGATATTTGATACCTTTAATGTGGATCATCAGTAAAAATGATTGTTGGAATACAACATTAGGATTTTATTGACTACTAACGAGTACCACGGTTGAGCAAGTCCTTTTCTTCCCACAATCTAGGTGATGATTATTTTTAGTTAAAAATCATTGAAGAAATGCATCTTCCGGATTTAGCACCCTCCTACTGCCCAAGTTACACAGTCTACGTTAAGATTAATAACAAATCTTTCTTATTAGATGTATACGAAATTTATTACAATGATCTACCACCTTAAACTGTGCGACACTTCATAAATAGCATCTAGTCATGCTATTATAACCTACGTAACACAAGAACTGCAATATCCCACATTCCTCATAAAACATGGATCTTTCGTTTAAAAGACCCAAACATAAGCATAAGCAGTATTAAATACAAATAAAGGATAATGGATCATTACCATCAACCAATTAGGCACTTTTGCTTCCACAATGCCATCAGAGTATGGTAGATAGGGCTTGACATCAAGCACTGGCTGTTGATGATGTTCAGAAATAGGTATCATTTACTCCGCATCATTATCATAGAACAGCATCAAGTTCATGGTTAAACAAAGCAATCAATAGCCTAAGCAGCCCATAATGACTGTAGTGTTAGCATGGGGAAGCATAGATTAGCCAACTTACAGTTCCATCAACCAGGTCCACACCAGAGAGCAAAACCTTATTTCCCTGGACAGCTTCCACCTGTAAAACCCAGTTAGCTCAAGGAAAGAAAACCAGGGCTACTATTTTGTTTTGTTTGTTTCAAGAGAAAAAGGAAAAAGGAGTACTTTTAATTTCAATGATTAATAATTATTTGCATATAATTTTTGCAATGGCAGGAACTCTAGCAGAACAAGAATTACTTCCTTTCACATACTGAATAAGTACTAGGGAGGGAGGGCAGAGATAGACCGTTCATTAATTGTGTACAACCACTATAAATGTGAACAAGAACATTGAATCACTGATATCATTTTACAGGAGTTCTTTTTAAGTATGCAACAATTCAGAAATGCCACGAGGATTTGCATAAATATCCATTAGAATTTGACATTTTCAGGGAGATCAAGATCTAGATAGTTTGGTGGTCTTCTAAATTGAATAAACTAGCTATACATTAGTGGGGGCTTGGAAGCAAAAAAAAAGAAAAGAGCACTTTTACACTTTACAAGACAAAGCGCCTCTCATGTTTACCTCGTATAATGCAAAATCACTTAAAATAAGCTAAGTCAAACACCCACTAATTAAATGAAGTAATCGTAGTACCATGCAATTATGCAAACTTATGTTTGTTTCAGCAAGCACGTCAGAAAAATCTACAGGGAGCCAACATTTGTTATCACCTTCGCAACTGTTAATCCAATGGGGCAAGGACGATGAGGGGAGCGTGTAGCAAACACTCCCTTTCTTCCACCTTGCAATCTTGGAACCCTCACCTGCACATCCATCGACTAAACATTAATTTTCAATAGAAAAAGTGTCAAACTGATATCCCATATACGAGGTTGGAACACACTTTTGCCTTGAACTTTGACTTAGATGGATGGTTCCATAGCTTCTCAAGATCTGTATTTAGATGAAATACATATATAACCCAGCAGTGAGAATATTCTGCAAGACCCTCAAGTGATGACGGTGGTACACGAGTTGTATTAAAAATCAAAGATGCTCTAGCAAGAGGTACAAGTAAGGGTTGCCTTGGTGTTCCATTTCTGCAAATATGTCAAAAGACAGTTAATTAACGGAGCATCAAGCAAGCAATTATTCGCTAAAACCAGGCATGATGCCCACTAAACACAAGAATGGACTCAACCAGAAGAAGAGTTTCGATCTATGGTCCAAGTGGAGGCAGATTACACCACAATTTATCTACCTCAACACATGCCTTAGTGCCTATGGAATTAGTAAAAATAATTATAATGGAGACTAACTGAAGAAATAATTATAGCTGTTAACAGTGTAGTCGTTAGTTCTTTTTCGTCTGATAAAATGGACTGAAATCAAAATCCAGTTTCTGAATTCGAGGGCAAGCATGGTGCTTTAAACCATTGAATTTCAATGGAAGAGCAATTCAAACTGCTTGACTCGGCAGTATCAAGCTACCATAAATGAACGGTTTATTCATAAAATAAGATATGAAATAATCAACAGATATTTTACCTTGTAGTGAAGCACGATTGGATGATGCCAATAGGTGCCATGGGATAGTAATTCATCTCTACGTTGTCACTTTTAGGTTGTGCTAGTGCTTTTCTCAAGGACTGCAAGCAAAGAAATTAGCACAAGTGAAAATAAAGTATCAAAGACAAACAATAACATTAAGTCTCTTAGACTTTATAACACTGACACAAGAATGCATGCAAGTGAAGATCAGATTTTATTTAATAAAAGACAAATCAATATTTAAATACATATTTCTTCTGATGACAATAATCTAAATTCACGTAGCAAATAGTTAGCCACCAAGTTATACAAAAGTGTCCTTATAATAAAGAATTTAAGTTCTGTCACACGTTATTCGCCACATTCATCAAAGGTCACTCTCTCATGGACCAAGTAAATATACATATAAGGCCTCTTCAACTTGAAAGCTTTGGTTCTCTTTGAAAGTTTTTGAAGAGAATAGAGAGGGTGCGGTAGAATGGGAAGAGAAAGAGATATCACAGTAATGTTTGAAGGTCTAATGCAGAAAAGGAGGGTAGCCCCTTTTCAGTTATTTAGAAGTTAAAAAGCTAATAGTGATTACTTGTGTGGGGAGGGTCAAACTTCCAAGTTACCCCAGTATTTCATTTCCCTTAATGCTTAGTGAGAGCAAAATATTAATTGAATAAAAAGTAATGAGGCAAACCGTTCCAAATCCTCCAACTTTTGTTCTGTTCTGTTTTGCTTTTGGTGTTTGAAAGTTCGGCTTGAGGGTGGGATATAATGGTTTGGGAACTCAGCATAATCCACCACACTCCATTAAGTTTATAAGATAGAAACAATGCCTCAAGGTTAAGTTCCTGCCTCTACCCATCATTTCCCACCCGGCAACCATCCATTATAAAAACAAACTCCTCTTAACTTGAGGCCAGTTATTGGTTATATTAATAGCTCTATTATGTTCATTAGCCCAAAAACAAATTTCTAGTTTTCTCACGTGAAAGGCTTGTCGGCTTAAAATGTAAAGAGTACATGGTCACCACAGCTTATGCTAAAACATAATTCTGATCACGGAAATGTGAGCAATAACAATTAAACTCCTTAGTCCTACCACTTAGCCGTTAAGATTAATACTTCAAGAACAGCTCCAACATAACAGTTAAATGCTTTGTTTGGATGGATGGGGATCAAAGGAATGGAAAGGTATAATCTTGCTGACAACTTCTAAAAAACGAGAAGGATGAAAAAGAAGCATCACTCTGTCCGTCCGATATGCTTCCCCTAACAAAACATATTTTTTCCTGTTTGTAAAGCGGGGGCTAACCAAATTTCATTTACTTTTTTGCACTTCATATTAAAAAGAGAAAAAGAAATAGAAGAAAGAAAAATTCAGTCATTTGAATAAAATAAGTGAGGTAAGGAAAGAAACCTGTTGTGCCCTAATGCGGCCTTGCCTCTCAGAGGCACATTTCTCTAAGGATGACTTGAGGGATGCCTCAAGCTCGCGAAGCTTGGAGTTCAAAGCTTTCGTTTTTTTCTTGAACAAGTACACTGCACTTTCAACAGCTCACATGAAGTTCTTGAAGGTTGGGGATTCAAAAGTTTGAAGCTTGAGCGAAGCCAAACAGGAGAAAAGATAATAAACACAGACAGAGAAGACAGAGTTTATAGCTCATACCGGACACAGCAGCGGTAACGGAAACAGCAGCAAAAAGTAAGGTTACGGTGAATCCCGACCATTTTGCTTCCGAGTTGGAAGAGTCCGTGGTTTGTCGATGACGAGTTTGGTTTCGGAGGTAGCTAGGTAAGAAACGAGGACGAAAACTGAAGTTCATGACAGTGGTGGATTTGTCTTCCTTAGTCGAAGCCTAAACAGTGGTGGATTTCACATTCCTGTGTTTATGTTCTAGTTCAACTTGCAAGGCGGGCCTCTTTGATCGCGCCCGGCTGCGTACCAGACTACCAGGGACCGACTGATTTGAATTCTCATGTCATCCGAAGCTCCGGTACGGAAGGAAAAAAATTACAAGAAGAAACAAAAAATTATAAAACAAGTATTAAAAGTTATCATTATTTATTATTTTTCTGATCTAAATATAAAACTATTATTTTAAATAAAAAAAACTAATTTGAAGGTCTTCATAATTTTTTTTATTTTAAATTAGGTCCTTGAATTTTTTTTAATTAAGTTCTTTAATTTTCTCCTGTTAAATCAGTTAGTCCTTCTGTTAATTATGACTAACACTGTTAAAAAATCTCTATTATCTCGTCTAATCAACCCCGGTCTCCTCTCTCCTTCGATTCCAAAAATGGTATTCGGAGGAGATGAGTTGAATGGCGGAAGCGATTAGGGAACACGTGCGACCAATTACCGAGAGGCCATTGATTGTACTGAAGTTGCAGGAGACATAAACAAGCACGGAGAAGAAGTAAAGGGTAAAGGGAACACTCGAGAAGCCATTTGTAGGGTGTGTTTGGATGAAACCAAACCGTGGTTTGAAAAAGTAATTCTGAAGAATAGATTCTGAGAAAAATAGATTCTGGAAAGAATAAATTTTATGAAAAAGTGATTTTGAGAAGTGAGAGTGTTTGGATAGTTGTTATCAGAAGCACTTTTTATATATACAAATTACTAAAAAAAAAGACATAAGTTAATATGATAATTACAGAGAAAATAGATTTTATGATATATTTTAATTTGAAGGAATAAAATTGTTAATAATATATTTTTTATTAACATAATTAATAATACATAAGATAATATAATTAATAAATAATTAATATGTATATATATTTATAAAATATAAGATTAAATATGTTTATAAAAAAATATGTTCATAAAAAAATAACAAGATACATATCCTATAGGCTCTCACACTCTCCCTTTTTTCTCCAAAAGTAAAAAAAATTTGCTTTTTTCAAAACCATGGTTTTGGCCCAAAACCATGGTTTGGGCAAAATAGGGTGGTGTTTGGGTGACTTATCACCCAAACCATGGTTTGGGGTGTCACCCAAACGGTACCGTAATAAGAGTGAAAGTCGCTTCGTTCTCGTTGCAACCTGGAGTGTTTGAGCAAGAGCTTCATCCTAACATAGAGCACCCAGTTCTTGGTGGCTCTAATAATCTAATCCGCCATTGCATTTAGAGATCAAAGAAAATGGCAGAGAATGTGAAAGGTGAGCAAGGTGTAGAAGTATGAGTAGTTGAGGAAGAGTTGTCGAATTCTGGTCAGGAAGGAGGAGAAGAAGAAGAAGTAGGAAGCAAGAGTGAAAGGAATATGAAGGGGGAGGAGAATCACTTTGTTTAAGCATGAGTTCCAACACTGAAATTAGCTTTATATTTTGCAATGGAGGGGACGTGGGAAGCTGAGCCATTTACAGGGGTAATGGTAAGGAAAGAGACGAAGTTGAGGATTCAGTGGAGAGAAGACTGAGATTGATGATTCAGGGTGTGTTTGGATGAAACCAAACCGTGGTTTGGAAAAGTGATTCTGGAGAATAGATTCTGGAAAAAATAGATTCTGTGAAGAATAGATTTTGTAAAAAAGTGATTCTGAGAAGTGAGAGTATTTGGATAGTTGTTATCAGAAGCACTTTTTATATATACAAATTACTAAAAAAAAGACATAAGTTAATATGATAATTACAGAAAAAATAGATTTTATGATATATTTTAATTTGAAGAAATAAAATTGTTAATAATATGTTTTTTACCAACATAATTAATAATACATAAGATAATATAATTAATAAATAATTAATGTCTATATATATTTATAAAATATAAGATTAAATATATTTATAAAAAAATATGTTTATAAAAAAAATAACAAGATACATATCATATAGGCCCTCACACTCTCCCTTTTTTCTCCAAAAGCAAAAAAATTTTGCTTTTTCCAAAACCATGGTTTTGGAGTCAAAACCATGGTTTTGATCCAAAACCATGGTTTTGGTTTTTGGAGAGGCTGTTTGGGTAGCATTTTTCCCAAACCATGGTTTGGGGTGCTATCCAAACAGAGCCTCAAACGGGCTTAACAGAGATTTTTTAACAGCGCTAGTCACAATTAATAGTAGGGAGTAACTAATTTAACATAAAAAAAATTAAAGGACTCAATAAAAAGAAAACAAATTTTAAGGACCTGATTCAAAATAAAAAAAAACTATAAAGACCTCTAAATTAATTTTTTCTATAATATATAGACACACATATGAATTTCAAAAAGAGCCTTGTTCGTAGGGTAAAGAGTGGAATTTCAAGAGTAAGTCACAAAAAATTAGGCATGAAAAGGGGACTAAATTCCCCTCTTATGCATAGAATCAGAGTGGGTATGAAACAGACATGTTGGACATATATAATTAATGCAGAAAACACGAGGAGTCACAAGAAAGGTTGAAGAGAGTGGACAGGAAGCACAAAAAGTGGAAATCTGAATTCAGTGAATGAAAATGAAGTATGCACCGATGAAGCGGGATTGGTTTTGTCATGTTGTGCTCTCCATTGCGACTGCATGCTGTAAATAGAATTATTTTTAATAAGAAAATACAATATCTGATTTTTAATATAAGAGTTACTTAAGTAATTTGTATAAATTAAAAAAAAGGGTTAATTAATCTGCAAGTCCTTATAGTTTTAACGAATTTTGAATCAGGTCCCTATAGTTTTTTTTCTTTTTATCAGGTTCTTATACTTTTACCTTTTTTTAATTAGGTCCTTGTATTTATTTTTCTTTTAATTAAGTCCTTATAATTTCACTAAATTTTTAATCAAGTCCATGTAGTTTTAATTTTTATTTATTAATTAAATATAAATTTAATTAAATAGATTAATACTGAAATATAAAATATTAATAATTAAATTAAATTAATAATTATGTAATAAAAAAGTAATAGAATTAATTAATTCAGGAAAATTCTTTAAAACAATTAATTTTTTTGCTGAAAAAATTAAAATCATTATAATAATTCAATATCTCTAGAATATTATTGTTTATAAACTAATATTAAATAATATATACTATTTTATGTTTATATAATAGTACTATTATAATTTATAAAATAAAGAATAAAAAATTCAGGGACTTAATTAAAAATAAGGTGAACTTATAAGGACTTGATAAAAAGAAAAATAAATACAAGGACCTAATTAAAAACAGGTGAAAGTATAAGGACCTGATAAAAAGAAAAAAAACTATAAGAACCTGATTCAAAATTAGTTGAAACTATAAGGAGCTGTGGATTAATTATCCCTAAAAAAAATTAGTTTAGTTAGTTATTTATCACAAATATAAATTAGTTTTATTAAATTACTCTTTTTAAACATAACTACTTTTAGATGAAAACTACTTGACATAAGTAATCAATAGTAAACTACAAACGTGGATGGACAAAATAAATTAAGATATTATATTTATAACTAAATCAAATTCTCAACTAACTCTTATATTTAAGGTAAAAAAACCAACCCTTATATTAAGGACAAAAGGTAGTGCTTATGTGCTAGAAAAAAATTTGTTCCATTTAGTAACTTCGTCAACTTGCACTTTTAATAAATTTGTGACCTGTTATTCCAAATTAAGAACATATTCCATATTTAAAATTTCACAAGTAAATAAGTAATTATTTGCATTAAAGGAAAATTACGTATAAAATATGAGAAAAAATGATATAAAAAGAAGTTGAAAATTGTAATATTCCAATTCAGGTACCTAAGGGGTCAAAACCCCAAGGGAGGAAGTGAGCCCGATCTGATATTTTATAAATTTAGTTAAATGACAAAAATGTCCCTGTATGAAAAAGTTTATTAACAAGTTGTGAAATAGTAATAGCAAGTGTTGAACAACATATGATAAGAAATGTATTGGCAATAATAAATTATTTAATAATAAATTGTAAACTGACAATGACAAGTATTAAATAATTAATGATAAGAAATGTATTGATAAGGACAAATTTGATAATATTTTTTTTTAAAAAAATGATACAAGGGCATTTTCATCATTTGACTACCTTTACAAAATACCATATCAGACACTACTTCTTCTTTTAGGATTTTGACATCTTCGCTGCCTGAATTGAAATATTATAATTTTTAATTTCTTTTTATATCATTTTTTTCAAAGTATAATCGAGTGGATCATTAAGATTTAACATATATATTGGATATAATTTTCTTTTAAAAAAATAAAATATGGACAATATTCTTTACTAAATAAAAAATGTACTTGTAAGTTACAAATAAAAATAATCAGTTTATTACGAATTAATTAATCTTCTGTGGGAAAGAAAAGCCATTGTACAGTCGACACGCGTCCCAAATCTCTTCCTTGTAACGGTTTTTCTTTTCCCGTTCGTTTGTTAGAACCTTCTTCGTCTTTTCCCCGCCATTTGGTTAGTCAGTTTATTTCTATATCCCAAGTCCCAACTAATATCTTATAATTACCACTTTGTCCCTTTCCTTAGGTCTCAACCCCCACTCTTACCCAAGGACGCAGCAAATCTGTATATCTCCGGCCACCATAATCTCCGTCGAAGTCATCTTCAAGCCTAACGACTAAGGATTCACCATCGTTACTCTGGACGTCCAACGTTCTCTTCAACTGCTTCACGCTTGGAACTAATGCTTTCTCTATCCATTCATCCAAGCTTGTTTGGCTTAGCCTCACCCCACTGGCAATCTTTCGAAGAGCCACTTCCTGTACTTCAATGCACATGTTCTTCTCGACGATGTCGGAAAATCTTTTCTCTACGGCGGCAGTGAAACTGTGGCGAATGCTGGCGGCATCAATGGGTTTGAAGACGACACAATCATCTACGCCATCCAATAATTCTCGATTCAGGAATGGGGTAGAACTAGTGGGTGACTGGATGTTGTGAGTGACATGGTTGTCTTCATGATCCACTGTGAGGTCACTAGAATTCATTGAGCCATCTGTCTTGTCTTCGTCTGATTCTACAGCTTCGTTTAGATTAAATGTTAAACCCGAAGCACTTTCTTTTCGAGGCTTTGTGAATCTTTCGTCATGGCATAACCAATCTAGTCGACGCTTGGTTGTTCTCTTTGCAATCGAAAGTCGTAATTGCCAGCTTCTTCCGTTTAAATTTGCAACGTTTTGTTCACTGGTTGAAGTCTCGTTTGCAGTAAGGATGAACATGATGTTACCGACACTAATTTCTCTGCCATGGGAATCACAAAACCGACCCTGCTCCATCGCTCGTTTTATACTGCCGCGAATTAGCAAATCTGCTTCGTGAATATCCTCCAAGATGATCACAGAGAATGGATTCCTCCTTATGGCTTCTGCTATTCGATCCAAAGCTGTTTTGCCACGAACAGGGACGTCGGTTTTCGTCTCTCCACGCTGTGCACCGAGATAGAATGTTATCGGACTGGACCCGGATACAATCTCAGAAAGAGCTTCCGCCATCTTCTTCTTGCTTGCTCTGTCAGGACCCAAGAACAGCAACCACGTATCACCCTTTGTTACTCCTCCTCGCTTTTTCCCATTTCCCATTTTACATTCCGTCACAGTTGTCGCTATTGCAGATGCTGCATCTTTCTGCCACCATACCTTCCCTGCCAAAGCTTTGAGGAGCTTCTGGAAGGAGTCGTCGTGATCCAACAATTTGTTGCTCTGAGTTTGAGATTCTGAAGAAATGGAACCCAGAAGGTCCTTAACATGACCTGACTTTACTTGTCCAAGTGCCAGCTCGGTGGTCACTGGACTTCCCGGTGGGCTTACTGATGAGCGTTCCGGTGGCCCCAGTTGAAGCGAGCATCCAAGACTTTTGTTGAGCTCTAACTTGGGTTGAGATTGACGCCCCAACAAGTTTTGATTGGAAAGGCTCATAGATGAGAGTGGAGTTGGAGCAATTCTCTCTGTGCTGAACTTCGGTTGATGAAATTTAGGATGCAAATGCAAGCAAGCTTCGTGCCATTTCTTCTGCAATTCTTGAGTCTTCGTCGTCATCACTTTTTGTCTATCATTCTGGTGAAAGACGAATACAAAATAAGTACCTGTTCTATTTGAGGGAAAGGAATAGTTAATATATAGTCCAACTCTAGATAAATTTACCTGCATCATCTGATCCTTCATTTCACTGCCAGTTCTAGCATTTTGCAACCACTGTGGAAGGGACGATCGAGTTGCTTCTAATCTGATCATGGAATCAGTTTTCTCAATGTCTTTCATCGCATCTGCTACTTCTTTCTCATAGGTCTGCGTGCATTGTGGGCAGCACATTGATCTTGGAGCTGAATCTGCTTTCTCATGCCTAGGCACCATTGTCGTACAAGGAAAGCCCTTTAAAGATTCAAGAGAGACACCAAAAAAGCCGTTTGTCCCAAACCTATTTGTTGCAAAGTACAAATCATTACATATCACAAACAGCCAACACATTGTAAACATCTCTTAAGAGCTTAATCAAGCTTTTTCAATGTTTCTACATTTAGTATTAATGAAAGTAAGCAAGATCCCTTCTTGTCCTAGACTCCGTATCATAAAATGGGAACACCTTATGCTTTGCGTTTAAAACAGAATAAATAGAGGTGTAGTTATAGAAGTCAGAATTCATTAACTAAAGCTTCAAAACCTCCAAATTAAGCAAGTTTCCGCTTAAAACTAACAGTGTTTCTTCGTAATCAAGACAGCATGAAATAAACTGATGAAGAAGAAGCAAGCACCTTGGAAACGTCTGAGACAGGGGTGCTCTGGTTGCAACTGGAACTGCTTGAAGATCCCAATCAATCTCCATGGAAGGGTGATAAACCTGACACCTCAAGTACGTCTCACATGTCGCGGTACCCATTAACCAAAGCCGACATGTATCTCTGAACTTGGCAACCAGTTTTGTCATTTCTGCAACGATGGCTCGCCCAATCTCTGTAAGGGCTTGTTGCTGCATAATACTACCAGAACCAGCAGCTCCGATACCCACAGGCTGCTCAACTAGCCATTTCAAGTCACCCAAGTTCAAGAAAACACCTCCAGAACCAGAATTTCCCATTCGAGTCTCGATCAAATCCGCCAACTCCTTTAGCCTTGCTGGTATTTGTGCTTTATCTGAAGGTAGCTCTTTCTCTAGGAAAATCACACGAGCATTGTTAAAAGCCATCCCTTGCATCTCCTTATTCTCAATTCTTCTCAGCAGCTCTTTCATCACTGACTCTGGCTCAGATTCACCCACCAAGATTGGATTCCTTTTCTTTGTCCTCAACAATATATCAGTAATTCTTTTCACTTCGTCAACCGTTTGCTGTCCCGACTGGAGCCTGGGATTTATGTATAAATTCCGACTATTTGTAGCCGGCGGTGTCACAGTCTTCGGCCGGATTCCCAACCCTATTGAATTCGAAGTGACTGAGGAAGACGAAGAAGAGAAATTCAATGACTGTTCAACCATAGCTTTCACGGCGGGGCTAGAAAAGCTAGCTTCCCTCATAACTCTACTAACACTTGGGTCATCGAGAATGGATATGATAAGCTGTTCAAGTTCAACTTTCACGGCTAACAGGGGTTGCTGCTGCAGCTCGGGACAGCCACGACGTTGATGAGCTTGAGCACGCTTCAGGGCGGCCATTAAAGCGTTCGAAATCGGAGGTTCTGTCCCGGCGCTCATATTCTGCGAAGTTTGCAATCGGTCAAGCGCGACACTGAAACACAGTTCAAGGGCTCTGCACTGGAGAGGGTGAGATGAATTGGGATGCGATTTTATACAGGCTTGCCGGAGGAACCCAGAGGGCGAGGCCAGCAGCGACGCCGCCACATGAAGCGGCGTCGTTTGGCTGTGGTTGCGGCGACCCGCTTCGGCGATTGACTGGTTGAGAACACTCGCTGCTTCTGGCGTTAGAGTTTGCTGGATCATGCTCAAAGCCGCTCTCATTTCAACAAATGGAAATCTGCTCAAAACACAAAATGAATTCTTGGTCTGATTAAACAAGAAGATGAACTAACTAAATGGACGTTATCAGCAGCATCTAGTCTTTCGGCTGCGCTTTTTGAGAACTCAGGACCCTTCGGAAAAAGGTATGAATGTGAGAAATTCACAGAGCATCTCACTTTCTTCCACTTTTATCCGCAGGCGTGTCACCCTGCAAGCTAGTCGTCGAGAATCCAACGCCAAAAGGAAAAATCAGATCCCACGGAAGATCCAAACAATTATCTCTCTCTCTCTTTCTCTGTGTGTGTGTGTTTTATTTTATATATACCTCAATCCATGGCACCCTAGCTATAACCAAATATCCCTACAGAATAAAGAATGGGAGTGGTGAAAGTAAAAGTCGAGCTTTATCGAAGATTACAGAGAGCATGAAGAGGGAACAGAGAATATATAGGACGGCGAGAGAGATGATGGCTGGCAAGTGATAATACTTGGGCCAAAAAATCAGAACCAGGTCGGGGTTAACGTGTCATGTGGTGGATTTTCCAGATTATAGATAATAAGCAGTGAAAGGGCAATTTGCGAGCAGGCGAGTACGGGAGAGGGATAAGTTAAGAAGAAGGAAGAAGAGACAGAAGGTTTTATGAATGTAAAGGGAGGGTGGGAGGGTGGCCTTTCTCAAAGGGACGCGCTCAAAGGGGTGTGTCGTGTGACATGACAGTGACAGATGCTGTCTCTCTCGTCTTTTCAGCCTCTCAACGACTTTTATGCTTTTCACACGCAACTCCTGCAAAAAGTTTATTCTCCTACTTTTTGTTTTGAATAGTCCAAATTTCAACTAAACCCATTTAATATTAAAACGTAAAATCACCGGTCGTATTCATTTCTATTACATACACAGATAGTCCTCACTTTTAGTAATAAATTTCCCTTTATCTGCTCTTACATAAAATATTAATAGACTGCTAAAATATTCTTAAATATTTACGAACAGCTACTTAATATCTGAAATTTTTTCTTACTCTTATATGTTTTTGAAAGTTTTATTTTATAAGATTTCTGTCATAAATTTTTATTCATCATTAAGTTTGATTGTTAAAAACACTAATCAAACCATATAATTTAACAGTCAAATTTAACGACAAATAACGATCAGGATATTTTTGTTACAAAAATAAATTTTCAAAACATATAAGAGCTAAAAAAATTTCAAATATTAAGTGTTCTTTTATAAATATTTCCGGAACATATAAGCATTTTATCCCATATATTAACATCAAACATTTCTTTTTAGAACATTTTAAATATGAAAATAGGAGTCCGATTTTTTAGATTTTTAAGTCTCACGTTAGGATGTCTCATAAGTTTAGTGTGATTTATAAGTTTAAAAAATTTTTTCAAAGCAGTTAACTTTTTGGGATTGTGCTCTCTCTCATGAGTTTGTGTATATTACACAAACTCATGATTATGACAAATTCTCAATAAAAAGTATGATGGATATGTGAATTGATTTGTACTTTTAATATAAAGGTTAATTGGCGTTAAATTTAGTCTTAAGTATAAAATTAAACCCCATTTCACTTTATCTCACGTCTTTTTCTAAAATATTTCTATTGGTTGTAAAGAGTTTCCGGATAATTCTGATTATCCAATAATACACATAATTGAGGAGGATAGTTTGATGAAACTAATACAAGCTTAACTAATTTTTTAATATCTTTAAATTAATTATCTAAATTTTATATTAAACAACGGACCTAGTACATTTTTAATATTAAAACATATTCGAAAGTGGGGGAGTATACAGGTGAAAATGAAAAAAAGTTATAATAGCACGTCATTCGTGAATATATTTGACTCTACATGAAGTTCCACCAGGCAACCGCGGAGAGTTGATCAATTCAAGTTGATGTTCGCTTACATTTGGATAATCTATGGTTTTAGTAGTAGAGATAGTGAAGTATTTTGTTATTTTAATGGATTGACACAGATCTTCTTTCTTCTTTTTTTCTTCGGTCAGAAGGATTAACACAGAGCTAACGTTTACTTTATGATAATTAATGTTATTTCTTTTCATAAGAAACAAGTGGGATTTTAATTTTGTTGCTTATCATAAGAATTACTCATCTAATCCTTAATATAATATCTATTTAACTAATTTTATTAGATTAAAAAAATTAAATAAGTTAATTAATTATAAAAAATATGACATATTTTTCCTAAAACACCATAATCATCTTCTTTAATATCTTCCCTCTCTCTTCTACTTGATCATGGTTGAGAGAGTATCCACAGAAGTAATTTAGAAAAAATTAATAAATATGAGCAATAGGCTTTATATTTAGAATCAAAATCAGCTTAACAATTAGGTCCTATATTAAGGACCAGATGAGTAATTAATTTGCTTTCATCTAAAGTATTTGTATTTATTTCGTTTTTCTAGTTATATCCTTACTAAAGAGGGGAGAGAAAATTGTTGGCAAAAAAAAAAAAAAAAAGAGAGCAAAGAAAATATTTGTGAAAATTTTCTAGTTATATCCTTATATTTATTGTTTTTTTAAAAGTAATTTGACTCACTTGTGAATTGATATATAATCTAATGATACGCATAAATATTTTAGAGAAATCATGTAAGATATGTTATAATTAAATAATTTAGTAACTTTCTTAATCTTTCCAAATTAATTAACTAGATCTTATATTAAGAATTAAAGGTAGTACATAGTAGCATCGACTTGGCTGGCAAAATAAATACTACTTTCGGTCTTTAATATAAGAGACAGTTGACTAATTTAAGTATATTGAGAAAATTTATTTAATTAGTTATTTATAATAAATAGGTATTATAATTTCTAAAATATCCTTACTAATCATATGTATCAGTTGAAATTACCATTTGATGAAACTTTTAACATATACAACTATTAAAATGACTACTTTAAAAAATAGATATACATATATATATATAAGAGGCAAAATAAATTAAAATTTTATATTTAAAAATAATTGAATACCAAACTAGTTTTTATATCAAGAGGTAGTACTATGTGAAACAAAAGAAAAGCCCAAGTCAAAACCGTTTACTTAGAAATTGGAGTGAAAAAGAAGACAAAGCATTAAATGAAAAAAGAAATGAATTGAGAATGGTTCAATCCATGTCTACAAAGCCGACGCCGCCCAATTAATATAGGTTACCCACCACATTCAACGCTTACTGCTTCCTCAAGCTTCTCGAGCGCGCGCGCGCGCAAATGTGCATATATATGGGTGTGTATGTGTGTGGATGCCGTCCCATAAATACATAAAATAAATTCGCCCCCACCAAACTCAGCTCAAATCTCCTGCGAAATTCATCTAATTAATTTGTTAATTTTTTGTAATACTTTTTATTTCATACAATTAAATACATGCATACATATAAACATATCAACCAGGACAATTAGTAGTGTTTCTGCCAGAACAATTAGTCATTGACAATTTATTCGTATCATTCATCTTAAACCATATGCTAAAAACGTGTTTGGTTTTATGTTGAAAAATACTTGAGCCTGTCTTCATCACTAAAACCAATAAACCATAATTTAAATGATTTTAACTATAAACTAAATACGCATTACATAAAATGAAAGTTTAGGATGATGTGATTATTTAATACTACCTTGGTCATATAAGACCTTATTTGATTTTTATTTTAATCCTAAACATAAGATCCCAATCTATTTTTTCTCTCATATTTCTCAAATTTGTTCAGGATAGTCCTTATAATAATAATAATAGTTCTAGCCAATATACTTAATTGATAAGGATATTTTAGAAAAAGTAACATCTACTTGTTACAAATAACTAATTTAACTAGTTTTCTTAATCTACTCAAATTAGTCAACTAGTTTTTATACTCATCTGATCGTTAATATAAGACTTATTTAACTAATTTGATTAGATTAAGGAAATTAGGTAAGTTAGTTAATTATAAGAAACATGACATGTTTTTCCTAAAACACTATAATCATTTTTCTTAATATTCTTCTTCCTTCACTTGCTTGATTATAATTGAGGGAGTATCTGTAAGGTTAATTTAAAAAAATTGATAAATATTACATCCAAAAAAAAATTGATAAATATAAAAAATAAGTCTTATATTTAAGATCAAAATTAACTTAATAATTAAGTCATATGTTAAAAATTAAGGATCGGAAAAATATTAAGGATAGGAGGTAGTATTAATCCTAAAAAGAAAAACACGCATGGTTCATGAATCAGTCTAGAAAAAGGTCACAAGCTAAGCTAGACTTTATTATGAGGAGGCTGACCAAAAAGCTTCCCTCATTAAAAGTTTTAAGGGTCAAGAAAAAGGCAAACCCGTCTTTTCTATGCTAGATTTTGGCACCGCCAGTTTCTATACAACTTTCATTTTTTTTTTTTTGCCAACCTATACAACTTTCATTTTATAATGACAACTCATCAGCGAACCACAGCTTTGTGCCATTATTATTAAACACTGCCTGTGATGTTTGATATATATATATATATATATATACACACACACATATGTATACATATATATAAAAGAATTAGATAACTAATTTTAAGAAATTAAAAAAATTACTTAAATTGATTACATAAAACTAATATGTGTTGGCTTTTAAAAACTGCTCTTTTTAATTATATATATTGAAACTGTCTTTTGATAGGAATCTTTACAATCAATAGGATATTTCAGAAAAAACATTATAAGTTTTAGAGACAAATATTTGTGACTAAATTCAATATTCAACTAACTCTTATATTAAAAAAATCAATAGTGTTAGTTATCTCCATATGATTTTCCACTTGGTGTTCTGGAAAGTCTGTGATTATTATACTCCCTTCATTTCAAATTTATACACATGAAATAGAAAGATGCTGGTCATAAGGGAGACATTATAACAAGGAATTTAAATTTAATACCATATAAACGAGATTATTTTGAGTTCAAATTTTATGAATATAACAAAAAGGAGAGAGAGAAAAGAGATCAGCTTATTCTCTTTTTGTTAAAAAAAAAAAAATCTCTGCACTAGACCCTCGCTAAGTTGTAATTAAGAAATATCTGTTATGAATGAGAAAATAAAGTGATCATTTGACGTTAATATCAAATGAAATGATTTTTCACAAATTAATGACCTTGACTTTGCACGAAAATAATTAAATGGTGAAAGGACATCAACAAGTTGCTCTTGAGTATCTTTATGTAATGTAATCTCATATAAGCGGCCAAGCATGTTGTCCTTGCTTTACTACTGGTCATCGAGTCCATTAATTCTTAGGGAATCTGTGATTTATTAATTAAAAAGAAATCTCTGAATGTTTGTCTTTAGCATAATGCACACATGATCTTAATTTTAATTAAGCGTGACGCTTTTAATTATGTCCTCCATTTAAAATCCCTTTAGATGGTGACCTCATCACACATCAGCTAGCCCTAC